GCTGCTCGCATATCTGAACACCAACGTTCGGTGGCACTTGGCAATTGTGACACGGAACTTTCCAAATTGGTGATACAACACCACCACGTAGCGCTTTGGAATCGAGTGGAAATACTCAAACGCTGTGATGAAGGGAACTTGATATACATTTGGGAGGCCCTCCTCACAAAACTGCTCTCCCCGTGCAACACCCCTACCCTCGATTTACCGGACGTCTGGATTAATTTATTCAGGCGGTTAAAAAACCAACAATAATTTTGCATTCTCTTCCCGCACCTCCTACATGATTCAAAGCACATACATGTCGGCCCCTTTATGTGCGTCTGTTTACGTGTGTTATGTATTTTAAATTATGTCCCGCGCTTTAATATTTAAAATTTAAATTTTAACATAAACTTGCACTTGTGGATCTATTCCGATCGGTTTCTATGCTGTCTATGTTAAGGCGCATGCGTGCCAAAAATTTTATACGTATTTACAAAGTGTTTTAATTTAAATTCTAAAAATTTAATTGTTCTTAATAGACATCTAATTGGCTCTCATGTTATGCATGTTAAGGTGCACGTGCGCCAATTTTTCGCGTTCACAAAATAATTAATAGCCACTCCAATCGATGTTTATTTGTTTTAAAACGCATGCGCACCAATTTTAAATGTTTAATTCTAAATATTTAAATTTAAAATCTCTTTTTTGTATGTTCAAAAACGGCTAGTATCGTTAATGTTTTAAATTTAAATGTATGGTTCGAATTCTTTATTCGAATTTAATTTTACCTGAAGACGACGTGCTTATTTACGTCGAAAGCGCTCGTAAATTAAAATAATTTCAAGTATATTTAACGCCTCATAGACTGACGTTCTTGGAAGAAGAAGTTTTGATTAACATTAGCTACTGTTGCATGCAATACTTCCAGTGACAACTAGCAGCAATAGCATATGTAGACATTCCTTGTAAGGTGGCAAGACGGAAAAATCTTTTCCTTCTTCATTTAGAGCTTGTTTCCAAGCAAATTATTTATTTATTCCATATTGGTCATCTTTTTAAATAACATTTTGAATTGCTCCAATAGATCTTTTCTGAAGTGTTGCAATCTGTCTACAAGATTTTCCTTGTTCATGATACAAAAAGATTTTTCCCACTTCTTTTTCACTCAATTCTTTCCTTTGTGACATTTTGTAAAAACTTAAGTCAAAATTATTCAATTATTATGATGGAATGAATAAATGATGCACATTGAATTATATAATGAAATACATATACTATATGTATAATTATTTTACAGCAGATTTGGTTGTATTTTTATATTAATTCATCACTCAGAAATTGATTATTATTTATGAATATGATGTATTTGTGAGTAACTACTTATAATGACGAGCTGATCAATTGTTAAATTGGTATAAATAAACATTGTGTGAGATTACACACAAATTTCAAGTATATGTATAATTTTTTTACAGACCTTATATTTTCTAATGTTTAAATACACTAAAAATACAGTACCATAAAAAGCTAATGATGTTAGAAAACAATGAAATCAAGTCAAAAAGTCAAGATTTTTTTCATTAAAAAAAATCAAATTGAAGTATATGTTCTATCTAAATAATTGTTGAGTGCAAATGCAATAAAAAATAATCATGTAATTTTCATGATGAATAAGTTATTCATCACGAAAAGTGAGATAAAAGACAGAAATAATCAGTTTAAAAACTGTTAATACTATCACTTTTTTCTTTTGGATCTATTTATTGTTTTTTCTTTGAAAAAATTAAATAATTTAAAAATAATATTAAACTCTAAAATTAAACAATAATCTATCAAAATTTTCACACAACTTTAAAACTAATCTCAACTATACAATAAAATTTTCTCGTAAGATACTGAGTGAAATATCTTTACTTTTCTATAAAAAAAAAATACTTAGTATCCTTATATTGTGAACAAATATAAATTATAAATTATTACATGATACAGAACAAATTGATAATCTTTTTTATATTAAAAAGTAATTTTGCTAACTTTACTTTAATCTTCTTCAGTTACAACTTGATTATAATTAAGTTATAACTGATGAAGAGTTGTCAAAAGAAATGAATTAACTTTTTACTTATGAAATATTTAGAATATAATTGTCAATTTATAAAGTAAGTCATTCAATTATTAAATTTAATCAAAATAAGTTTATTTTATATCAAAACATAATCTATATATATAAAAATGAATGTATGTCTGTCTGTCCTTCATGCATTACCACACCGTTTATCCAATTGCCATGAAACTTTGGGAAGTTGTTTAATATACTCCTGCGAAGGTTTCTGGCATAGTACGTTTATCCTACGATAGATGGCGCGAGTGTATACGAACATTTCATGGAGTTCGATCGATTTCAAATTGCGAAGACCATTTCCCTCCTTTAAAAAATATCCCTATATATGCATTTGTGAACTGTTATTTACGATATTTGTAATAATTTTTGTTTAATCACTTTATTTCAACTTTTTTTTGCTAATTATGTATTCGCTCGAACTTCGTTAAAACCTTAACTGTACCCCGAACAACAACCGAAGTTGTAGGAAGAAATTCGCGTATTTTACCGATCTAGGTATCCCCCTTTTCCAAATTTTAATATCGACTCAAAATAATTTAAAAAGACAAATTACAATAAAACGGTTTATTATCCAACTATCAGAAATTTCACAACATGCCAAGGAAGAGAGGAAGGAGCAATTAAATAATTAAAATTATAAAGGATTAAAAAAAATATATATAAATGGGGAATATCGCGCTTCTGACAATCGCTGCAAGTGTGTGGGCTAAATTTGGAGAATCCGTGCTTCTCGCATGGACAACTGTATGTGGCCGGCTCACGCGTCGAAAAACCTTCCGATTTATTCGTGTACGCACCAGACGGAAAAACAAAAAATATCGTGCATCCACAAACACTCCAATAAATAAATAGAATTGAAATGACACTTTGAAATGTTTTCCCGACAAAAATGAATAATAATAATAATATTATAATAATAATAAATTTCAATAAAAATGATAAAATGTAAATTGAATTTTATCATAACGAGTTTACTTGAATTTCGTTTCTTCTGAGATAGCAGCAATGCGCAATGAGTAAGCTAGTTCTAAATAAGAATGACTTATGACAAATGAGTCCAAGATAAATTACTGTTGAAAATATTTTATTCAATTTATAAATAAATACTTGCTTCAGTTTGATCTCCACATGGTAAATGAGCTACATCTTCAGTTAATCCACAGCAATAAATTGCTTCATAATACCTAAAACAAAATTTCATTAAATATAACAAACAATTTCAAAAAGCATCAAAATTATTAAGAAAATTTTCAAATGTTGGTCAGTCCATTAATAGCTATCAATAAAACACAGGCTAGATATAAATTATTAGAGATGTTTAAATGAAAGATGTTTTTAATTCTTCAAAATCTCCAAAACAATATAAAAATGCTACAAATAAAACAAATTTGAAACTTAAGAAACATCAAAAATATGCTTCTTTTATTTTTAACTCTCTAATAATTTCAATAAGAACAAAATTTTTAAACAAATTAATATAACACTTATCTAATATGATTCTAACACAACCTATTATTAACATATTAGAACACCTAAAAATTCAAAATAAAACCTTAAATTTCTACACCACAAATATATTACTATGGTCATACATTTAATGTATTTTTTAAATTTAGTAATAAATTCATGTAGCATTAGTATGCTTATTTTGGTATATAATTACAAAATTTCTGTATTAATTTATACACTTAAATATATCACGATCATAATCAACTTTTCAAAAGATCAATGCTTTCAACTATAAAAATAACATTTTAAAATTTTATTACAGGTTTATAGATGATATCAATTATATAAAAATCAAGAAATTTCTGTATTTAACATACCCTAGTAGATTATGAAGAGAAGCTTACAAAGTGTCAGAGGTAAATGTATACTGTACTGGTTATATGCTGCATAATTTTGGATCTGCAAATTACAATCAAATGGAAATTAATTGCACAAAAATTAATACGCATTGTCAAATCACTTTCAATTAATGTAGTCCTACTGTACAGTTCTGTAACTCACAACTAGGTATGTTGTGAGAAATTGAACTTGTTCTATTTAATACATGAAATATTTACCAGTTTATTATTATTGCTATGTTTTATTTTATTTAAATAAAACTAAAAATTACAATAAAAAAACCAGTAATATGACTTATTTTTGCTATCATTTGTATATTGAGTATAAGAAAAACAAGTTCAATCCTTATGACATACCAGTTAGTTACAGAACTATGCAGTTAGGCCTACAGTAGTTGAAATAGTGATTTAGTGTCCGATACTCTGTCTACAAGCTTCTCCGCACAATCTCCTATGATATACCTACTTTTGAAAAACTTTGTATATATGTATTAGAAACTTAATTAGTGAAATAAGCTAAAAATTCAAATCAATATTTAAAACACATAAAATTAATAATAAATATATTTAAATTATATTGTTAAAATTTTCTTTATGAATTTGAAATTATTAAATTTGACAATTTGAAGATATTACATTAACATTATTTACATAAAAACAAAACTTTACACATATAATCAATTAAAATGAAAAATTTGTTTATATTAAATTTAAAATATTTCATGATACCTAGCAGAATTTATTTAAGTCACTTAGTAAACTAAATTCTTATTTATATATATTCACTTCATTTCACAATTTGATGTAAATATTTATTAAAACAAATATCTTCTTCATTTATTATAATTAAATTCAAGTCATTTTTATTATAATGAAAATATATATTTGATTATCTGCTTTTGGCAAAATATTATTATTATTTTATTTTAAAAAGTAATAATTCTCCATAGATCATTGACCTAAATACAGTATGACAATTTCATGTTAGATTCAGGACAATGCTTAATATGCACAAAAACAGTAGAAAAAAAAATTCAGAAAATGTTTATTTAATTAAAATTCATTATAAAAAAAGAATCTAATAAATAATTAACTGACTCAAGCTCTATTTCTTTATTACTCTATGTAATTTCAGCATTAGTTTAAGTTGAAAAAATTTTTAATTTTTTAAGTAACTTTTGCAAACACAAAGAATAATTTAATAAGTAAGAAAAACACAATTTACATCAAAACTGTCTAAAAACATCCAAAATATCTCTAGACAAATATAGATTTTTTCAATTATCACAAAACAAAAAATCAAAATTTTAAAATTTCATTCATTTTTTAAATATCAGTTTAAATTGTTTTAAATAAAAAATAAGTTAATATCAATCCATAAAAAAATGTATAATAATTTAAGTATAACTTTAGTTAAACTATATTTGAATTATAGAAAACAGTATGAAGTCCAGATTGTAGGTTTTTGTAGGTTTTTATAGTTTTATATAGAAACAAAGATTACTAATCTTTCTAAATTTATTATTTAAAAATAAGGGAAATAATCTAAACAAATAAACTACTTTATCCAAATAACTGATAAAAAGAGACTAACATTATAAATAGAATTCCATGTGTGAATATTATAGTAAATAATCATTTAAAAACAAATAGGAATTAAAATAAATAGCACTAATGATAAATTTATATACACATACTTCTAAATATTTAAAAGAAGTTTCGATGTAAACAGATGTACAGATTTTGTTAACATTCATTGTAGCAGAAAGCAGAGACAGATAAATAAAGCAGATTTCTTGCTGGAAAAAAGGAAATGATAAAAGGACTGATATGCATAGAGAGTATTTGTTTTAATTTGCAAAATGTCATAATAATAAACATACATGAAAGTATTATTTCTTAATAAAACCTATTACTAACCGCTTAGAATTAAAAGGATGACCAAAAAGAATGTTTTCACGAAGAGATGTCTGTAATATCCATGATTGTTGTGGAACATAGGCACAGGATCCTCGAACAGCAACTTGACCATGTATTAATTTCATCTGTAAGAAATAATTAAGATAATATTTTATACATTAATTTCAATGATATTCTGTTTATTTTTTATTAAGTATATAGAAAAATATAAAATTAAATCTCCTTCAGACTAATAAAAATAAAAAAATTTTATTTAATTACATTTACTAGTAGATACCTATTTTAAAATCATTATACTCCATAGAAGTTCTCAAAGACATTCATATCAACTAGATAGCTGTGCAGATATTAACCATTATTCTTATAAATATTGTAGAACTTATATCAATTACACAATCTCTTAACAATAATATTACATAGCTTTCAGTAATAAAAATAAAATACTACCTGTCCAAGAAGAGATAAAAGTAATGATGATTTTCCACTTCCAACAGATCCACAAATACCTATTAATTTTCCCTACATTAAAAAACAAAATTAAATTAATAATAAAAATTAAAATATATGCTTGATTTTATATTAACTTGAATAATAAATATTGATATCATCAATTATATTAAAAGCCATTTTATTCCATATAATGTATAATTTCATTTAAAATTATTCAAATTCTTTCAAAAATACAGTATTGAAAATGGCATTTTGTATATATTTAAAATGTTTAAGTAAATAAGTGTTCACTACTTGCTTCTATGTTTAAAAGCATAAATCTGTTTAGTTATTTCATCTCAATATTATTTTTCACTTGCTTATTTCCAATTACAGTGTTATTAGCATTCATTATGATTTTTCTGCTCAATGAATGATTTCAATATTTAAACATGTTAAAAACTTAATATTTTTCTGTATGTACAACAAATTATTTAAAGTGTAGACAATTAGAACAGAATGAAAATAAATTATTAAACATTTAATAATAAAATCTAATTTATTCAAATATTTTTAAAAATTTATTCATTAGTATAATTTTACATTTTTTATAAAGCTAACTTCAATTTTAAATATAATCAGTACAACTGAAATTAGAATAATTAGTTATTACTTTTTAATTTAAAAATACTTTGTTTTATTGTAATAGCATAAGTATTTAAAATTCACACATACTTTTGGAATAATTAATGAAATGTTTCTAAGTACATAAGTTGGAGCAACTGGAGTAACTAGAGCTGTATTAGGAGATACTTCATCTTTCAAAGAATTTTCTACATCAATTACTAAGTAAAAAAACAAATTTTTATTATCAATTTTTTAAAATAATTAAAACAAATATAATTTAGAACAACACATTACAAATGAAAAGTACTTAATAATACATTTCCCCCAATATTCAAAACTATATACAAATAGAATCTGCTTATTGTGATCACAGTCGTTTAAATGTTATCAGAATTAGCAAGACCCAAAATATACCAATAAAATTTATTATTTATTGTAACCAAAATTTTGGTTATGCTTATCATTAGCTTCTGTAAATATGCATTTTTAAGCTTCTTTTCAAGCTAGCAGTCTCAGTAAGTGGCTGTCAACCTGCAATCATTATCAGTTGTTGTTATCAGTCTTAACCAGTGCTTTAAGTATTCAACTTTAATCATTTTAATTATTTGCTTGTAGTAAAGTAGTATAAATTGTAGAAATTTCTTACTTCAATTACTATCTTTGACAATTGCTAGCTATTGTCAAAGATAGTAATGCAAAAAAAAAAACAACAACAAAAAATGCAGGCAAATAGCATTGTATGAATTTGTGTTTATTAATTATAAAATTGTTTTAAGATATTCCTTTAATGCAGAGTCAATAAGATAAGAACTTCCATTAATTTTATCTTTATTTGTTTTCCTTACTTAATGTTCTTATTCAATCATCATTAGTATAGGAAAGCCCCAAAATAATCACTAAGTGAATTCTACTGTATTTGCCTAAATAATCAAATCACATTACATACATGCCCATATTTAAACTTAATCACCATATGGCAAAAATAATTTAAAAATTGAAAATATTCAGTAAATAGTCATTATTAAAGTTCTGATATAAAAACAGATGCATATTTTCAAAATGTCTTGCATTCTGTCTTCTATCAAGAAACTATCAATCTGAAGAAAGCAGAATACAAAACAAGTCTCATAATTCTATTTTAGTAGTCATTAAGATTAGAAACAATTCTCCTCATAAAAAATATATGATTATGACGATGACGATTAATTGATATTCATACACTACAAAAACTATCATTAATAAACTGAAGATTTCAAAACAAAAGTAATTGATACAAAATTAAAAAATGTATTTAATTGTCATTTTTGATTAATTTTCATTACACACAAGTTGATTTAATTAATGTCATCTTTAATTAATTTCTATTAACCCTTTAGAAGACATAACCCTTCAGTAATGGTGACATCATTCACAAATGCATACTACAAATTTGCTATGGTTCCAAACCATTTCATTTTATTATGACAATAATTTATATATTAAGTAAACAGGACATATACTTGTTTAAAAAAAATAAAATGATTAATGCAAATTTTCCTATTTGAATTTTTTGTTAAATACCATTCAAGAAATTTGTATTTTAAGAGATTTTTTTTAATTGGCATTTCATTCATTTTTATTTTGCATATTTCTCTTTAATAATACTATGTAGATCAGTCATGAGCATCCCACAAAGTCCTAATATATAGCCTCTAGGGCTTTGGCAATTAATTTTACACTGCTAGAAATGGAAATCCCAACACCAAGGAGTTATAATAAGTGAATGAAAATTATACAGACTATTTATCTACATAATTTATTACATTGACACCAGCTTCAAAATCACAAACCACATGATGCATGTACAGTGGCATAGCAAATGCAAATTAAGAGTTTCCAATAGACACATGAAGCTGATTATAAGCATTAGTATCACTGTGAAAAGATGTAGTAACATTATTTACAATGTACAGAATGCTTGGAAAGCAACAGCAAATTCCATATCAACAATTAACCCAGTTTTAACAGGACCACATGGTTGGCCACAAGAGAATGAATTTTCATTTTGTGAGATCATGAAAAGAATGGATCAAAGTGTGTCCATTTTGTGAAACTGTTGGCAGCAGTGGTCCAGGGAAGACACTGCTACCAGAAGACCAGTGTCTGGACCCTCATGGGCCACTGGAGGGAGAGAAGATTGGCACATAAACAGGATTCCCTGGTAGACTGGAGAGAATCTGAGGCAGAAATTCAAGCAGCAGTGGCATTCAGTGTCTGTTCAGAACAGTCTATTGGAATGTGCCCTTTGCTCCCGGTGTCCTGTGGCATGTTGGCAGCTCTCTCCTGTCCACTGTCAGATGAACCTTCAATGGTGTCTCACAAGAGCCCATTGGAGAGCAGAATGGAATTCTGTGTAGTATTCACAGACAAGAGCAGTTTTGGCCTTGGTATCATTGATGGGTTTACATGGATCAAGAGGAGGCCTGGAGAACGTCTACTGGCAAGCAGCACTATTGTCAATATACCAGTTTAATCCTAGACATCATGGTATGGGGAGGAATTTCTTATGATAACAGGACCCCTAGTGGTTACCCCAAATACCATGATAGCAAACCGATTTTAAATAAAAAGAACATATTTTACTTAAATTTCTTATGACTGCTGTTTATTTATAAATATTATAAAGTCTCTGTAAATCCGGACGAAAAATATATAAATTTCTGGTTTAGCGGTAGACCATCACACAGCAGATAGCTAATTACTTCTCTTTATTTAATCACTGTATATGCATTTTTTAATCACTGTATATGCACCAATTGATATTAAAAAAAAATGTTTATTTAATGGAAATAAGAAAAATATATAGTAGAGTTACAAATAATAGCAACCAGAACATTGCACTTAATAAACTTAATCAGAAATTTATTCTTAATAGTTACCCTAATTACACATTAAAAAAATGGTATAGTAATTGGGAAAGAAATAAATTTAATACCAAACAGAATAAAAAACAAAATTACAGTAGTTTCCCTTATATAGATAGTATTTATAATAATTGTTTAAAAATTTTAAAGAATGAAGGTGTAATTTTGGCCCCATCCTTGACAAATAAACTTTTTCATAATATTAAAATACATACAAATTCAAATAAAATAGATAAAAAAGAAAAAATAGGTACTGTATATATGATAAATTGTAAATGTAATATACCAGAAGTTTATATAGGTGAAACANATAAATTATTAGAGATGTTTAAATGAAAGATGTTTTTAATTCTTCAAAATCTCCAAAACAATATAAAAATGCTACAAATAAAACAAATTTGAAACTTAAGAAACATCAAAAATATGCTTCTTTTATTTTTAACTCTCTAATAATTTCAATAAGAACAAAATTTTTAAACAAATTAATATAACACTTATCTAATATGATTCTAACACAACCTATTATTAACATATTAGAACACCTAAAAATTCAAAATAAAACCTTAAATTTCTACACCACAAATATATTACTATGGTCATACATTTAATGTATTTTTTAAATTTAGTAATAAATTCATGTAGCATTAGTATGCTTATTTTGGTATATAATTACAAAATTTCTGTATTAATTTATACACTTAAATATATCACGATCATAATCAACTTTTCAAAAGATCAATGCTTTCAACTATAAAAATAACATTTTAAAATTTTATTACAGGTTTATAGATGATATCAATTATATAAAAATCAAGAAATTTCTGTATTTAACATACCCTAGTAGATTATGAAGAGAAGCTTACAAAGTGTCAGAGGTAAATGTATACTGTACTGGTTATATGCTGCATAATTTTGGATCTGCAAATTACAATCAAATGGAAATTAATTGCACAAAAATTAATACGCATTGTCAAATCACTTTCAATTAATGTAGTCCTACTGTACAGTTCTGTAACTCACAACTAGGTATGTTGTGAGAAATTGAACTTGTTCTATTTAATACGTGAAATATTACTGGTCTTTTTATAACTGTTATGTTTAATTTTATTTAAATACAATTAAAAATAATAATAATAAATCAGCAAAAAGTTATTTTTACTGAAATCAGAAATTCTGACTGAATAAAATCTGAATTTATTTGTTCCAAAAAAAACTTTTAACATGAATGAATTATTCATGATATTTGTAAATATAGAAACTTTAGTATATTTATAGGAATAAATAAATTCAATTATTTCATAAACATCTATATTATCCAGAAGTAAACTAATGATAAACTAACAAAACATCAAAAAGAAAACTCAGCAACTAAATAATTTTAAACTTTTCTTCAGTACAATGGCAATAATTCCATCTATATTTATCTCCTTGTTTCCATCTTATTACTTCCTTTTTATTTATTTATTTATTTTTGACAGGGTTTATAGTTATTTTATGCAGCAAATAAACAGGCAATAAATAAGACTGGGTTCCTTTCTTGATCTTATTTAATACCTGTCATTTTAAATTCAAACTGTTTGGCTATTCTATTTATTTGTTTGATTTCCAAATCCAAATTCTCCTAATTCACATTGTATACATCTGCATTCCTGTATAAGATCCTAAAAGCTATAATTTCATATTCCTGTGCAGTGGTTTATCTAGACTTTTTTCGACATGAAGCTTATATAAATTTTTCAGCCTTCTTTAAGAAAAAGAATACAAAACTAGGTATGAAAATAAATATTTACTTAAAATGAGTAAAGAAATCACAACAAACTATAAATTTGAAAAAAGGTAGCAAATATCACAGACACCATAAATCCAGAAAAATGACATCCTTTCTTAAGACTTCCAATCTTGAACAAATCTATACAGTCGATCTCCCTATAAGATATAGATACGTTCCAATTTATTAGGAATCCGATTTCTTACAAGTTGTTCCAATCACAGCCCGACACGTGTCAAGTTTACGGACTACGGCTGATTGAAAGGTTTTCTTCCATAAAATTAATCGATTCTACACTNTTTATTATCAATTTTTTAAAATAATTAAAACAAATATAATTTAGAACAACACATTACAAATGAAAAGTACTTAATAATACATTTCCCCCAATATTCAAAACTATATACAAATAGAATCTGCTTATTGTGATCACAGTCGTTTAAATGTTATCAGAATTAGCAAGACCCAAAATATACCAATAAAATTTATTATTTATTGTAACCAAAATTTTGGTTATGCTTATCATTAGCTTCTGTAAATATGCATT